CACTGGTACTAGCTTTTACTTTCATATAAAAATCCATTACCGAATCATTAACTTGTTTAACCATATCTATAAACTTTCAAATTAGATATTTATTATATTAGAAAAAAAAAAAAAATTATTATAGGAAATGTTATCTTTGTCTTGGTTCATTGAGTAGGCTAGACTCGATGATTCCTATTACATTCCAAACAAGTAAGATGCACATTTCCTTCTATCTGCTGTCCATTGATCTAGATCTCCTGTATTATCCCAGTTCCATTTCATTTCTATATTACAAGATGCACATATATCTTTTTGCAAATCTTTTAACTTAAGAATATAGTCAACAGATAGATTGAATTCACAGTCTTTTTTCTTATCTTGATCCATATATCTTACGAGTTTTCCAGAAATAAATGGTCTTAAGGATCGCTCAATTGCTTTCTTATTTTTTGCTTCCTCAATCTTAGAAGGTAATGGGGGACCTTCAATCTGCACAAGTTGATTCAAATATTCTACACGACCTACTGTAAGATATATTAGATTATCTCATGCCAAATATTCATCAATAACCCAAACTCGTTGTGGAGCTTCAAGTGTCATCTCTTGACTAGTATGCATAGTCATAGCATATCCCAAATTCCAATCAAGTATTTTTTCTTTGCTTAATATATCTTTTATAAATTTTTCAGGAAGCATATTCAACAATAAATATACTATATCATTTTTTACTAGTTTCTGTTTTTTAGATGAACTGAGAATTGAAATGAGGCAGTTTTGTTTATATTTATCTCTTGGCCTATATATTAATGGAACCGGTAGATCTGGATATTTAATACGATAGAGTTCAAGGCATTTTTGCGATGCAATTCTTCGAGATAGGTGATATGCCGATAATATACGATCTGAGGGAGTCCATTCCTTTTTGGGACATTTCCATTTTTCTATAGTTGGGAGAATTTCTCGAAATAATTTTGATTGTATTCGATTATTTTTTTGACACATAGTTTTTTTAAGTTCACGTAACTTAGGACATTTTGCACGATAATCAGTTAAACTTCTTCATAATAATCAGCATGCTCTTTTAACTAATTATGTAGCATTTCTCCGAAGAATAGCAGAGGTTGTGTATCATCACCGCAACAAATTACCTGGCATTTATGTTCTAATAAATAATTAATAAACATTTCAAGAATATACTTAGGAACTGTACATACCTCATCCCAAATAACAACTTGTGGAAATTCTTCTCTCCTATGCGTTCAGGTGTCTACTCTCCTACTCCATTCCATCTGAAGAAACTATGCCAGGTTTGAGCTTTTACATCACGTTTTTCTCGAAAATCTTTAGCTAATGCATTTGTATAAGTAAATACAACCATGTTTATATTTTTGAAAATTTGAATTGCACGCGTTGTTTTTCCTAAACCACCTCCTCCATTAAGATATGATTTCCGACATCTTGTAATAGGATCATAAATCGAGGGTGCTGTACTTTCAGGAATATTTTTGATTGATTCCCAATGCCTATTCTTTGGCCAGTATATAATATCGGTAACTAGTCCATATATTTTTTCACCTTTGTCACGCCATTGACCGGGTTGAATTTCTCGGATTTCTTGTTCTTCTGGTTGATGTAAAAGAGCATAGGAGTCTGGTCTATAAAACCATTCTCCAAAGCAAAATCTGCAAATAAATGGTTTATGTCTTTTACAGTCATATTTTACTAGAGGCGTTTTGGTTTTTTGAAACTCTTTAATCCATTTTGTATATTCAGATTTCAAAATAAACAATTCTTCTGGATCAGTACATATTGCACAAGAAGAATAGTGTGAACATAAATTTGGATTTGACTTTACCTCAACTTGCTTGAAAAATGCCGGTATATTTTCGATCTTATATAAAGCCTCTTTTCGTACATATATAGAATCTGTAAAAATTTTTATTACTTCATTTGGTTGAAATCTCCGTAGCATTTCCAACAAGTTTATATGAGCATAAACTAACATTGAGGCTCGCAAATGCGTGTACTGAGGTTGATGGCCCTCATAATATGTAAGTATAAATCCGAGTAGACATTTCTCCCTACCTGCAAAAGTTCCAGCATCAGTACAATCTTTGATCAAGAAATCAAGCTCACCTTCATCCGTTACAAGTCGATGAGTAAGACGCTTTTCATCAATTTTGCCACCCTGTGTAAACTTACCTATAATTGCACAACTAATATTTCGATTTTCTGGTAGCCATACTTTGGTTTGCTGTGTAAGAGAGATAATTGCTTCTCCAATAGTTAAATTTTCTAAAATACCAACTTCGAGAAGATATTATAGAAGTACAATAGGAGCCCATCCTTTATTTTTTGCACATCCTTCTCCACTCCGACATGCAAAATGTTTTCCATACCAGACAGGAATTACTGGATGTATATTTGACGCAAATTTAAAAGACCTTACCTGTGCAAACCCAGTAATATCTTCCTGTGGAAGTTCACCATTTACCGCTACTTTAACAAGATAATGCATTGGATGTCCAAATCTATTGAACCATGGTGTACATTCTCCTTGACCTCGCATACTTGCTGGATAACATTCTTTCATATCAATACATACAACATCACTGATATGGTAATCAGGAGCATTCCAGCGTCCGCTGTGGCTATGCTCAACACAAGCTTGTTTTATATCCTCATTTATTTTTTCAGATATTGGATGCCATTCATTGATTTCGTTGGCAAGTCGACTTCCAGCATGATTTGCGCCAAATACTTGTTCTGCCAAGTCAACTACTTTGAGAGACTCTGAAAGAATCGATTTCTTTTCGTTACTGATTATGTTCTCTTGAAATTGCCAATTTATCACATCATCAACTAATTGTTTACATGATTCTATAATTTCTGTATGCTTTTTCCATGTTCTGAATGTGCGACTATCTTCTAAAACAAATTGAGATACTCTTTGGGTTTCATCTCCTACTCCCATAAGCCAGATTGCTTGAGGACCTTGAAGAGCATTGTTAATAGCTTCCCAAGTATCGTTCTTATAATATTCGACCATTCGGTCTCTTGGAAAATGCTGGTTTCTTGAAAACGCATATCCATTATGTACCACCATTTCTATTTCTTCATACTTACCGGATCGATATTTTCCACTATCAAAGATTTTTCCATGAGTAATATCGAGTAATGTTATTGGCCGTTTGAGAATTTTTTTCTAATTCTGCTACATCTTGTACCTGAGCACCGGGAATTCGCATTTTTTTCTCCCATGTATCAATTTTTTGTCGACGAATATTTGTGAGCCCGTGCCCTCTCTTGGCTTGATCAAAATGCTCTACTACTCGTTGAGCTACACAATTAAGTACTTCATCTTTCATGGGCATTAGTCGATTAATATCTGGTTTTCGAATTCGATATAATCCATAGACTACTGCATTGCTGTCAAGTCTTCCTACGTCAGATTGCACACTAACTTCTCTAACTAGAAATTTCTCGTCTATTCCTACCCAAAATCCTGGTTTCGTTTTCTTTGTAAGTATAACGTTTGGACCACCCCTGACATATTTTCCACCTGCTTTTTTTGATTCACGAATAGGCTCATATTTATCAATAATTTTAAAGCCTCTTTTTGTTTCCTCAACTGATATTACTGTATCATCTCGAATAAATTTTACTCTTATTAAAAACTCGCCATTATCAATCGCATTTAAAATTTCTTGAGCCCGCTTTTCAGTCATCCCAGCTTCATACTTTCTCGATTTTATTTGATCTTTCACATCTCTTAACCATTTTTTACTCCCTTTATCTGATGCTCTATAAGCTTCTACTGCCATTTCTAGGTTTTCATTGATTTCTTCTTCCGAATAATTATGATATAGGCATTGCAAAAATACCACTTGCATGGCGTTATCTTCATTTTCTGCTCCTAATATTATATTGGCCAAATCGATCTCTTTAACTTTTGTAAACCAGGTTGAGAAAGCATATTCAGCTCCATCTACTTTGAACATATCTTTTGAAGTCTGAATACCATTTTGCCATATTGCATAGTGTTCTTCATCGTTTGGAAATGGAACTGGCCAAGGCACTTCTATATCTAAATCTAGAAACCCACCTTCGTAATAAGCTTGGGTTCGAGGACCTGGACCAGTTTCTGAATCAATCTGTGGGATTTGATCGGGAGGTTGTGATGATGAAGGTTTTGTTAATAAATGGGGTGTTATTTTTCTGATGTTATCTTTAACTTCATTTAACTCATCCAAATCTGAGCTAATATATGTAACTATACCTCCATTTTCATCTCTTCTTTCTATAGTATATCCACCGATTCGCTCTCTTTCTTGCCATACTTCTGGGTCATTTCGTAAAAGGGATAAGAATGTATTTTCTATACAACTTTTTAGATTTTCTCCTCTTCTGCGTAACCAATTTCGATTTTGCTTCATATGACTAACCTTGTCTGATCTATCGGCAAGA